TTGATAAAACAGTGTTTTTATATATCAAAGACTTCAGTATAATAACAATCTATATCAAATCAAATAATGACGTAATCCAATGCGTGAGTCAATACGTAAAGTATCTAGACCCCAGCCGCTGGCACCATCTGTGGCAACCCAGGGTGTTGGGTAGCGTGGTCCTGGGTTACCCAGCTATCAAGTATCTGGATTTTTAATGGTCTGGCTTGATAATAGATTGTAAAATATTTGGGAATGGGGGTCTTTTCAAACACTGATCTATACCACATTCACTTTACACAATCATTCAACACAACAGAGAATGTAATGGGAAATTATATAAAATGAATATAATTCAACTCTATTTCAAGATATATACATTTGTTTGGTTATACAATTCTACATAGATTTACCGTCAGTTATGCAGAACAACAGAAAGTAACGTTCTTTTCAGTCAAATACACTTATGAAATTCAGTGTATCTAGGAAATTCAATGCATACTATAACGTAACTTGATATTCTTAATTCTGCCTGCCAGTTTTTCTCACTTGGTAAAATGACCTGTCTTATTAGTTCAATACAGGCAAAAGGGTTGTATTGTCATCATAAAAACAATACAAGATAAATTCTTAGAAGGGTTCTGAACGGGCTAAAATAGCCAGATACGCATCAATACAATGAGTACAGGCTTGTATCTCCTGTTCGGGATAGTAATAATGATCAAAAGTTTTCAGAAGGTGTTTACATATAATACAGATAAATGCATGGGAGCTGACTAAGACTAGGGGTTTGATTAGTGCAATGAAAATATAAAGGTGGTCGGATAGTCACTGTGTAGCAAATGGGACAAAAACTTAAGACAGTTATGCAAAATTCCAAATAGGATATTCTCACAGTAATTACAAAGGCACACAAAGATTTGAAATGCTGTGAGGCTTTATATTAGCAAATTAATACCAACACTGGCTATGCTTAGTTCCCTGGGACGAATAAGGGTATCAGCAAATTAATTGCCCTTGCTTACCCAAAATCAAACCCTGCCCGGGGGATGTTTTGAAATTAGGTAATGGAGTTAAAAATACAGCAATTGCTAGATTCCCTAAGAATTTCCAATATAAATGTAATCAATCTCAAGGAAAGTAAATAAAATATGCCCAGTGAAATCAATTGAGCGCTCAAAAGATGGTTATGCTGTGAAGCTGTTTTACAACTAAAAAATCGTAACTAGTCCATGCCTGATGATACTAACCAGGTGCAACACAGATCCCCTAAAGAGTGTCAGCAAATATGAAGATTGCCTTGATCACCCCAAACCAACTCGTCTCGGGAATATAAAGAATAGATTGTGTAATAATACTACATGTATAAAAGCTGTGGAACGGATAGCCAATGTTGCTCAGAGGTTTGCCGTTAACAATGTAATTCTCATATAAAGAGTGAATATTTTATATTATTGGTACAGTTAAATATGCAACGCTTGTTCAAATTCTTCAAGACTATGCTAGGGGGGGTTGTATCTTATTTCGAGAGCCACGCAGACTAACAGCGTAGCAGCAAATAAATTGCCATAGCTTAATTACGACAAATCAAACCCGACCTTGGGGATATATGGAATACATTAGGCAGTTGCAATATATATAAAAGTGAAATAAATAGCTGGTAGTTCTCTCAAGTTTTCAGTTCAAAATGTAGATTTTAAGTATGAATATTCTAGTGACTCAAATAATCAACACTGGCAAGCAGATATTACCCTCAAATTATATAAGATAAAGCCAAAAATACCAAGTTGGCGATTGAATCTTAAATATACATGTAGGTCAATCTGTAAATTTCAAATGAATCAGAAATGCTTCTCACAATAATGTACACGTAGCTCACTCAATGCTTATGAGGTTTTAATTAGAAATAAAATTCTGAGAGTTCAAATCAATCTGCTATATAAATACGTACAGCCACAGTTTGATTCAAGGCGTGACCAGGCAGATTGAAATCAAAGTCGTAATCATACAAAATGGCCCTGAATATTCTTTTTGAACCTGATACAATAACCCTCAAAGTGGTTTAAATGAATTTATGCTAATGTAAATGAAGCTAAATGAGTGAGAGAAATCCTAAGATTCACCCGACAAGGAAAAAGTATAAACAGTTTCTCTGTTTTAGAGTAAAAGTAATTCCATTACCTTACCAACCCGTTCACCTAGGTTAGTGTATCTAATAAGATGATATATATCCAATATGTATGTGTATTAAATCCAAAATGCAGAGAGAAAGTTAATTCCTGTTACTTGCCGGTGATTCAAAGTCTCACTGAAGAACTGATGATTCATGCAAATCTAGCCAAAATTATATAGTCTCAAAATAAAATGTAATCGCTTAGTTTGGCCCCCTATAAACAATCACACATAATAAACATTAAATATTGCTAAAATAAACAATAACATGACCAACATTTGATATAAAGTTGACATAATGTGCCTAGTGTTGGAAATTCACATATAAATGTTTTAATGAGACTATCAACAAACAAGGAAGTAGTGAATATAAGAAAATTCTGAACAAACTCCTGAATTATGAAGTATTAAGAAACATAATTGACAAATAAAGGTAAGAGCAATTTAAACAAAGTGATAATCCTCCAGAATAATCACATAACATTGTATTAAGTAAGAGAGGATCATCACACTACAGCAAGATTATAATATTGACTCAAGAAATATAACAGTAATTAATCACTATCTAGTCTAATTTCACTTCGATTCAATCGAATCAAAAGCAGGAAGTAAAATAATAAAGGTGCCATGTTAGACTACCGATCAACTACAAATTAGACTGCCAGATAAGACTGCCCGATCAACATAAACAAAATCGTGATCAAATAAATAAAACATGTGAACTATTTCACCTCTGTAAGTACAACCTAAGTGCTGCAAATGATACTACATTTATAAATCTTAATAATCTCAATGGGAAATTACTTTCCAAGTGTAATAATTACCTAATGTACAAAAATACAGCACTTTATCAAAAATCAAAAATTTTACATTTAAAATTCCGTTACATTATATTAGATTACATCTTTTTATAAACTAGGGTAATCAAAACGCATTTACACCCGATTTTGTAGAAATAGTTTTACTCAGTATATAAAGTACTGTAGCGGCTATAAGGAGAATAAAGAAAATACCAATCTATGATCTAAAAGATGCAACGAAACAGTATAAGTTATTCAATAATGGGATTGAAATACAGACTTTTTCGGGCACACTATTTTCTGTATTTTCACGAGAAAGAATTGAATAACGTTTTTATTCAATGATCAAGGAAAAACTAAAAATACCCCGATAGCTGGTACAGACGGTGAAGGTCTCATTGTGCAGCTCTGATATTGGATTTTTAACGTGCATCTTTCAATTTGTCAAATGCCAATGATATGTAACTAATCTGTGTCATATTTGTACCAATTCCCTTAGGTTACTTTCTAAAAAAATTAATTTGATCAGCTGAAGTGTCGGGAATCGTTTTCAGCTCTTCGTCTGCAATTTTTGGTTCATAAAAACAATGTACATGTTTCAAATTGCTCTCTTATTTTCACGGATGCGTGTTTTTTTCATTATCATTTATAATTTTATATATATACTTTCATCTATATTGTTTTAGAAAACACATCAAACACTTGTTTTGTTCTTGGTATCATGTTTTTTAGGTCTCTCAATATTGTAATTGTACAAAGTAAATTTTGGTTGGTTTTAAAAAACTGTCTATTAATGAAATAAAAGGTTAATCTTAATTTTTATCTATTTTGGGGGGATTTTGTTTTCATTGTTCAAATACTTTTTTAAAATCAACCAAAAATTCCTTTGTATAACTATACAATATTGAGAGGTCCAAAAACATGTTGTATATGCTGTTTTGTTCCAACAAGGTTCGGAAAGACATTTTATTTCATTCTCAAGAATTGGTAGAAAGGAGTAAAAACAATTGCACTAAAAAACAAAAAAATGTTAACAAAAACAGTTATATAAAATATTTCTAAATGATTTTCGCATTGTATTGTTGTCAATCAGTCAACATTACATTAACTACTGTGTTTTTACAAAATGTTTTCAATGATTGGTTTAAGAGAAAAACATTGTTGAATTCAGTTCTCCATATCGATACCAATCCTTTACGATAATTGATATTTTCAAATATATTCAACTTCTGTAATGTGTGTTAACATTCAACGTCATTTTATGTTTGCTATTTTAATGTTACCACAACTGACTATCATGACCTTGCGATATATACCAAAACATTGTTTATTAATTCTAAGATACACCTTTAATGGTGATTTAAAAAAAATCAAAGTTTGCTAATATAAATGCAGGAAACATAACAAAAAATGTATCATGTGCTTCGATTTCTTCCAACTCGTTAGAAAGTATGTTTGCAACCAGCCCTCAAAAAAGGATTGTTTGATAGTTCGTGCTCATAAAACAGAATACGTTTTATTATGTCCACACAATTGATATTAAAGATAGTAGTAGATACAAGCATTCAGTCTCAAATGATGTTGGATAGTCAAGTCAACAAAGTCCACAAGCGTATCGAAGGGTCAACAACCATCCGCAAACCCTACGCCATAAACTATTATAAATCAAACACGGTCATCAGGAGAATATGGCTGATTTCGATTCCCATTTAAAAAAGTTCCCTAAGTTCTGCATATCCTGCAAACAATTTTATTGATATCCATGCATTTTTAAAAAGTAATAATGGAGTAAAAATATGGAGTTTTTTGGCGAAAAAACATGCATTCGCCTCAGAAATGTGTAGCGTAGTTGTGTTTGGTTCCTATGAAAGCCAACGTCTAAAATCCTCTCAAGAACATCACTCTAAGTGATCTAATGTTACCAATTATGGGATATTACTGCACTGCACTGTACAGTTTTCACCTACCGATTCTGTAGGCAATTATTCATATCATGGTATATGTCTTATTATTATGGCACGACGTAATACTCTTATTATCTACATTAAGATCCAGTATGCTACTGGAAACAATGGGGATCATGGATAAATGGAGATTGTGTTGCAAGTGGACTCCCATTGACGCCACAATGCTATAGGCCAGGAACTTCCCTTTGTTATCGAACCCGTCGGTGCTACTGTGTCGGACGCGGATATTCTCGTTCAACGTACTGTACTGGTTCTTCAAAGGAGTACGAAACCAAAACCTGCTGTCTACCATATCTCCCTCCTCCTCCATGTACGTTAATGCTCTTTATTTTAATAAATCTTACCCGTTGTATGTTCTACTTATTTTGAAAAAGCGTATTAAGATTGTAACTCATAGATTTAAGCCACAGTTGTCATAATTGTGTGGTATGCATCATTTTAACCGTTTTATTTATACTTGAAAAAACGAAACACATAGTTTAAATTATATAAAGCATGCCGATGGGAACCATGGGGACCATGGAAAAACCACGGAAGATGCGAGAAGAATGGATTACCTGGGACACCTAACTGCGCTTATCCTGGAACTTTAAGGTGTTATCGTACCCGTGAGTGCAACTGCAGAAGAAAAAGACATGGTGGGACCGCATATTGCCACGGGCCATCAAAAGAATATGAAAACAAGCCGTGTTGCTATAAACACACATATACACCTCCGCATTATCCTCCCCCGGGTTATCCCCCAATTCTTCATCCAAGTAAGTGTAATTTCACAATTTAGTTCAAAGTTAGTGTTTTCTAGATGACACGATGGGGATAAAACTTTGATCGTTTACAAATAGACTTTTTTTAAGATCTACCCTGCGTGCAGAGTCTAGTTAAACTACACTCTGCCTAGTAGAGACCATATTACAGTTAAGTAGCCCCGCCCCCACGAAGGGTACCGGTGACAGTTTGGGTAAATCACTTTTGACCTACGCGCTGACCTTCCACCAATCAGCGAGCTTGAAGAAACATGCGCCAAATGCGTTCTAATTAGATATGCGCAATTCATTGGTCAATTCCGGGCTCAACGATGACGTCAGAAGGAATGACCATATAAAGAACGTCGGTCAAATTTGGCCGACGAACACTGATTGGCGCGGTGAGTTCACAGGTTTATTTTAGTTTGAAAGAGTGAAGACGAAGCTCTCTTTTAAGAAGTGAAGTCAAACGAATGCAAAGGGTATTTAAGATCGTATGTTCCATTTCGTAAATGCTATATCTTGTGGGAGATAAAAGTAAATTATTGGTTATATACTCGTGTACTTACACAATGCACTAGGTTGGCACTCGTAAAACTGTGACCAAATTCAATTAACATAACTTGCGTTGTGCAATCAAAAAATCAAGCCATACACCGTAGTTGCCCAATTAAAGTTTATGATTTAGCTTAAATACATGGCAACAAAGTATATATAAATAAAACAGTGTATGGCACTGCCATACGCCACGATCACATCCATCTTTGTTTGTGATGGTTTAATGGATAAACTAATTGTCCTACTACGCTTTTCAGTGAAATGAACCAGGTTGAGAACTTACGACTCCACGTGACCTGATAACAAGACAATACCTTTCGGAATCAATAGATATATTTTATGTTCTAAATTAAGTAATAGAATAAAGATCAATGCAAATATAATTACGTTTCTTGTTTACTTGTATATCTTGCTTACTGGCATTTCTTGTTAATGTTTACTTGTACTCCTTCTTGTACTTATTTAAATCCATTAACTATAGAGTCCTTGTCGGAAATGCTACACCTTTCTTTGAAATCTGAATGTTGTATATTGGTAACTAATGCCTCAGTCACATTTGATCTACGGCAAATGTATGACGGCCATAGCTTCCCAAAATCGAGAGCAATATGCAGCATAAAATATAGGAACTTTTCTATCGATTTTGTGAAGCTACAGTCGCCGTTCGAACGCCATGGAACAAATCTGACCAAGGCTTAATAGACCTTTCCAATAAACCCTGCCATTTTTGATAAATCAAATAACCTGACATCCCGATTGATGATGTCATTGGTTGTATGTGGTTGCAATTTCTCCAATCATAAATAGGATAACTTTTGAGCAACCACATTAACTTATTGCTCATTTTGAAAAGCGAAACCTATAACATTACCAATCTAGATAATGAGAAAACAAGTTCAGACATAATTCATGTGGTGGATTAATACGATAGTCTTTACTGGACATTCTGTGAAAATTTCATTAGAATATATTGAACGAACTTTATGATCATCCCTCATATGTTTCTCTTCGTCTTTTTCTAAATGATTCCATTTCCGGTCACAGTAATAGTCTAGAACATTTTAATCTTTGTCATGTTTTTTAGATGTTAAATTTCATCTAGAATACATACTCACACCGGAATAGCCTGATTGCGGTAAAGTCAGATGCCGTTGTCACAAATAGTCCATGTAGTGATAAAGGAATTGACAAATATTTGAAAATTACCTCCCGTTCAAGTTCCAATCATTTTTATAGATTATATTGATAGATTTAATATCACTGAATATGGTATTGCTTGTTGAGGATCACACAACATTACCGTTTATCATTTATTTGAGATTTAAGCAGGGGTCCATTTTTTAAAGAAATAATCGTTTTAAAAGATTTCTTGTGAATAGATAATAAATAAGTACAAAAAGCATGAATTATTATATATCAAGAGCATAATGTAAAATTTCAGCTGAAAAATTAGATCAAAATGGAATCCATGTTCACAGTGGGGGGTATAACTCATCAAACATTTGATAATTTTTTTAAAGCTTATTATTGTTACAGCCTAATGTTTTTAATTTGCTTTTTTTTAGTTAGGATTATAGCATTGACCATTTATGAATTTTTGAGCACCATATAAAGTTACAGAACTTCATTTATGAACGATTTCAGCAGGGGTCTATTTTACAAATATTAAATATTTTTACGGATAGTTCTTAGATGAAAAGCTAGTACATTGTTACGATTAAATTACATCATTGAGGTGTATAAATCATGAAAACAGGTTTCATCTTGATGTGTTCAACCTAATTCGTATAACGCCATGTCACAAATGGGGGGGAGGAGACATTGACCTCCACTTGGGGATCTTTATTACTTATATGATTTCAATATTACAGTAATGTCGGTATCATTATAAACAGGCATTAAATAAGTGTAGACTATTATAAATACGTTGACAGCAAGAAGATTTATACAATTTAAACTGTAAAATGAGATAACAATGGGCTCTAAAATCACAATGATTGGTGTAACTAATCAAACTTTTACTTTATAAGCTTAGTATCATGTCCTAACAATTCAATTTTAAATAGTTATCCCATTGAACGAACTTCGGAGGGATATAGGGAACGGGTCTCTGTCCATCCATCTGTCCGTCCGTCTGTTCGTCTGTACGTCCGTTCAGGCAATAACTCAAATACCGTTTGCCGGATTTTGTTCATATTTTGTACACATATACCCTATGGAGGTAGAAGTTCTGCTCGAAAGCTGATTTTCAAAATGGCCGCTCATTTAAAAAAAGCGACCATTTTAGTGCCGATCTTACAGTAATTTAGGTGCAATGTGTAAAACTGTAATAGCAATATCTTTTAAATGAAAAAAAAATTATATAGGACATTAATAAAGCTAGAAATGTAGATATTAAAGAAGCACATGGCAGCCATCTTGAAAAATGGTGGCATTTACTTGTTATTTTACGATTTTTGCTGTAACTCGAAAAGTAGTGTAGTGATTTTGTTCATATTTGGTATGTGAATACTATGAGCATGGCACACTGTCTAATGACACTTTTGGTAGAAGGCGGCCATTTTAAACATAGCCGCCATTTTAACGTATTTTACTATCACTCGAAAAGTTGTGGAGCGATTTTGATCATCTCTGGTATGTGAATACTATCACGGCTGTTTCCAACTGAACTTTAATTAAAATCTCCAGCTTTACTCCATGCAGCAGTAAACAAAGTCGCAGATTTATTCTGCCATTCAGTTACATGGGACTTTTTTACAATTAGGTCAAGTTTAGAGTCTAAATTCTCAGAATGTAGTGATTTCAATTTATTCACTATTTGATGATTAAAACTATAAAGGTATCCTTTATATTGTCCATCAAGATTTACATGACAGCACCATATAAACAAAAAGTTATGAATTACTTTAGAACATGTGTATTTGGAAAAATATGCGGTGATATACCAAGATATCAAATATCTGCCTATGCTATAACTGCTGCAGACATTTCTGCTAGGGCTATTTACTTGATGTTCAGCAGATTGCCCTTGCATATTATTTAAGACTGAAATAGTTTTATTTAAATTTAAAATAACTTATGATAGGGTCAATTTAAAGCTTTATTCTTATAAGGTTTATCTTTATAAGGAGTATGTTTTTATAAAAGCATAACTGTTGATGAAATGCATCAAGAATTGAGAGTGAAATTGACTTACCAAATTGCAGCAAGGGACTATGATTAAATACCCATAAATGTGCTAATGCTCATTTCTAATCCAAATGATAAGATAGATACTATATTATGTAAAAGTCAATCAATGAGTCACTTCAATATCACTTTACTTTCTTCAACTTTCTTCAACTTTCTCCTCTTTATTTGTGGGGTAATATCCTGAAATCTTGGTTGCTGTTCAGTTCTAGTGATACGCTTGATTTTCTCAGCAAATGATGTTGTTAATGATTATCATTGTCCTATTAATGTCATGTAACATTTACTGCCTATATATGTAGGGTGATAATGCGCCTCATCTAATGTTATATGAAATCCTTCTTTCGTTTTGATATTTTCAGTTACCTATTTTGCATTAATTGGATTTACCTTTCTGCTTTTCTGTAAATATTTACTTTTGAATGTAAAAAGCTTTTTGAACAAAACCGGCAAAGTGATTCTATGGAATTTGAAAAAAATTCCAGATGCATGCTTGTTTATTTAATGAAGGCCATACTAAAATCCATGTTCTGTTACAATTTACAAAGTAAGAATCTTTAAAGGAGAATGGTAACTTCAGGGAAACTAAACTTTAAGACAAAGGGGTGCTGTTATGACTTCTAAATATAGTTGTGCGTATCTTGAATAGTTCTTTCCTTTGGTGTGTCATACTTTAAAAACAAATCGCAACTTTTTTAGATAGAGGGGTGAGAAAGTATAGACTTTACACAGATTTATGTTCATTAAATGATACCAGATTTGATCAGTTATGTCTCAATTCCTTGAACCCCTTCTAGATGTTCACATGTTAATGTTTCTACCAGGAGCAATTAGACTGTCAACAAGTTAAACAAAGTGAATCTAGCTTGATTTATTGAATGGAAGGAATACATTGAGTGGGAAATGCTACACAACTTTAGCTAAAGAAGGAATGACCCAATTTAACCGGATATGGCTAAGAGCGCATGCTCAACATCTGGTTTAGATTAAAAGTCAGAATGACCTGAACTTAAGGACAAGTATTAAAGATGCCAAAAACAAGCCATTTAAACAGCCGTGCTATAAACAAGGCACACTGAATTTTTTGAATATCTTAAAGTGGTTCAGATTTTCATTTATTGAAGATTTAATTCAAGATTAATTCAAAAAGATGAATATTTTTGTGGATAGTTCTCGGATCAATTACTATTATTACCACCTTGCAGGGCATGTTTTAGGGGTATTAGTGCTAGTTTATGTGGCATTTATGTTACTATATCGACCTGAGCAATAATTCTAATAACGTCATTTCTGCGGGCAATATAAACAAATACTAGATGATCAGGAACTGGATATGGCAGAATACCTATTCGAGAAAAAAATATTGGGCGAGACGGTATTAATTAATTTCAATAGAAAGTTTGGGTTCTAGCATTGCCACATGGGACAGTCTATTTTCAACTGAATAAAATAATCAGGGTAAACGCTTTTCTGTTACTAAAGTTATTTGCTTGTAGAGCCCGTATCACAAAAATCATATATCCTTTCACCCCACATCATATCATATGCTTTATTGATGTTAAAATTCATTTTTATAAATAGTGGGAATAAATTCCTAACTCATCTTAGATTGTGATTTAAATGCAATATTATATGCGATCAAATGCTTTTTCCAAGGTTTAAAAATGTAAACAGTGCTCAGTTTCAGTGCTCAACAGGTGAAAACGTATGTAGGAATATAGGCAGAAACAATTTCGGATCAACGAAAACAAGATTGTGTTCAAAGAAAGTGATCTAAATGGAACCATTCTTTTTAATCATGTTGAATGCAAAATATAGTCAGACAGAAGATATTATTTTCAATTAAACAGATAAAATCAATATATCATGCTAATGACATTTCCAAAAGCCGATTCATAAGTGGAAAATTCGTTAACTTCAAAAGTGTCAATATCTAATATTTTTCATTATCATGGACCTCTGTTAAACCCCTCAATGATAAGTAAACGGTAATGTTGACAGGTCCTCAACGGGTGAAAACGTATGTAGGAATATATGTTTTATCATTTAAACATATCATTAACAATTGGCAGATCAACGAAAAGCAAGATGATGTTAAAAGAAAGTGAACTAAATGGAACCATTATTTTTTACCATTTTGAATGCAAAATATAGTCAAACAGACGATCTTAGTTTCAATTAAACAGATAAAATCAATATGGCATACTAATATTAATAACCTTTCCAAAAAACTTCAAAAATATCAAAATCTAATATTTTTTATATTTTTTTGTGAACCCATGTTAAACCCCTCAGTAATTAATGAATAAGTTTATTGGTCTCTTGAACATCTAATGTACATCGAGATAAAATCAATATGTTATACTAGTAAACTTTCCAAAAGCCTATTAATGACTAGCTAGATAATCTGTTGCAAACTTCAAAACTATCAAAATCTAACATTTTTGTTGACCCCTCCCTGTTAAACCCCTCAATAATAAGTAAACGGTAAAGTCCTCAACAGGTGAAAATGTATGTGATAATATATGTTTTATCATTTACACATATCATTTAACAATTGGCGGATCAACAAAAACAATATGATGTTAAAAGAAAGTGAACAAAATGGAACAATTATTTCTAATCATTTTGAATGCAAAATATAATCAGACAGACAATCTTATTTTCAATTAAACAGATAAAATCAATAGGTCATGCTAATAACCTTCTCAAAAACCGATCCATGAGTAGATAATCCTTTGTAAACTTCAAAAATACCAAAATCTAATATTTTTATTTTTTGTCGACCTCTGTCAAACCCCTCAATAATAAGTGAATGGTAATGTTGACAAGTGCTCAACATGTGAAAACGTATGTAGGAATATATGTTTTATCATTTAAACATATCAAAACAATTGGCGGATCAACAAAAAACAAGATGATGTTAAAAGATAGTGAACTAAATAGAACAATTAATTTTAATCATTTTAAATGCAAAATATAGTCAGACAGGTGATCTTATTTTCAATTAAACAGATAAAATCAATATGTCATGCTAATAACCTTCCCAAAAACCAATTCATAAGTAGATAATCTGTTGTAAACTTCAAAAATATCAAAATCTAATATTTTTTATTTTTTGTGGACCCCTGTTAAACCCCTCAATAATAAGTAAATGGTAATGTTGACAAGTGCTCAACAAGTGAAAACGTATGCAGGAATATATGTTTTATCATTTAAACTCATCAAAACGATTGGAGGATGAACAGGAGGAAACAGCTTAATTAAGGCTTATCTGAGAAATTCCATTATCACTAATGGTATGAAGTCTCTAGGACGTCTAATAAAGGAGCTGGTAGCACACAATAGCGCAGCGATATTTGACCTAACATTAACATACCTACATATGTTCCCTAATAATTTTTATTATAACCGTTTAATATACTTCCGGCTTTTGGGCTGAATTATGCCTGCCATTAACAGAGGTCAAAAAATTACCAAAAAATAAAATCCCAATTTTTCACAATTTGGAGTACACAATGCAACAGAAAATAATACAAAATGATTTTAGATATATGATTAAGGTTTATAAGCTATAAGTTTGAGGTTATTTTTCTTATCAATACCAAAAAATTGTGTAACGAGTGAATCGACGTTTTGTATTGTTTCTCAGGCATTAATAAAATAAATGCTACAAATGAATCAATTTTATATTAGAATGACAAATGCTTAAATTATGCTAGATTTTCACAAAATGGGTCTCAATAAGTTTTGAGATATGGACTTTTATTCAGCGGTGAACATTATCAATAAAGGAGGGTCTATTGATCTTCCTTGACTAATATGGACTACAGCTAAAATTATATTTCTCGTAGTGAGATATAGGTCAGTTGCTTATAAATCAACCATCAAGACTTGATCGAATTCATTTATAATTGAGAAAAATCGTTGTCATTACCTTCCTAAAATCTGATTGTATCCAGCGGTAAGGTCAAGGAAGAAACGACCATCAGAAAACTTGATGATAGCCACAAGTAACGTCGAGGAAAAATTGTAAGGCGTTCGATTGCATACGACTCTAATTGATTATTAGACATGCCCTTGGAATATATGAACATTCCAATACCTCTGTAACATTTAATTTGATATAAATTTTACCAATTTTTTATTGTATTATGTTTTAGAAAACATGGACAATAATTTGTTGTTAGACCCCTTGCGATTATATATGGAAAAATTCTGGTAATACAATGTTTTAAATGGTAAGAAAACTAATGTGTTCCCAATCATAAACTACCTAAATAATCCACACAATTTTGATGAATCAGCTTGGCTTATATTTGAAAAATCAAACAAAATCTGAAAAACACACTTGCGTAATTACACTAATTAAACACCGACATCTACAGTAAAATTATAGTACATTTTTACATTATGATAATCTATTTTTCGTTTGTATGCTTAGAATAACGGTCTGTGTCTTAAACAATGTATAAAAGTTCGAATCAAAATATTTACGTTTTTTGACCCCTTGTGATGAGTCATTTTTCGACCCGAAAGCCAGAAGTTTTTTCAGCAAATAGTATTTTAAAAGAATCAAGACATATACAACTTAACTCTGAAATAACACCAGTAATCGGTAATACTTTTAATGTCCTCTCCATCATATTTCTAGGCTTCTCGATATATGGCTAACGTCCTTATCTATATTTCTGATAAAACAAACCCAACTCAACTATAACAACTTATACTGTAATGTCAACCCTTATATTTTCAGGCTAGCATACCTAGTGACCAGAGTTTCATCCTCTATGACACTTCCATCTGTGGCATAATAACGGAATCTTATCTCCAACTTGATAGGGTTGTTCACTGTGCCCTTCTTATAAGGCTCATACTCCTCAGTTTCGACTTCCTCATCCTCTAACCTTTCTAATACCACTTTTGCTGTTTTGGTTACTTTCCATATACTCGTATTCTCATCCGAACTGGTCGCAATAATACCAACACTTTTTGGCTCTTTCCCTGACTTTTTCCTTGGGGCACTCTTGGGATTGGTTTTCGGGGATTTTCCCTTTTTATCCTGATTTAGAACATACTCCTCCCCCTGCCCGATTGGTATAATTATTCTGCTATATCCTTGACTATTGACCTTTTTGTCCAACTATGTTTACCCTCTTTCTCTTTAGATTCTGTCAACCTCTTTCCCCATACTATAGGTGACTTTCTGGACGCCGTAATGCAAGTGGATCCTTAGTAACACTTTTGGAACTCATAGAACGTGTTTTAGAGGTAATTACCGAAGTCTTGGGTACAGTCGTGCAAGGGACACTTGTGGCAGTAGGGCGTGTTTCAAGGGAAGTTACAAGGGCCTTAGAAATGACAGGGGTTGCTTCAGGCGACGTCGCATGAGTCTTAGGGACAATGGGGGCTGTGGGAATTACCTCAGGGAGCTCATTGCAGATGTAGGTGGGGACCCTAGACTAGCGGAGCGTGGAGGGAATTGGAGTTTCTTAACATCAGAAGTGGATTGCCATGTTTGTAACAACTCACTAAGCTGCTCCATAAGATTAAATCCTGTGGGTTCCTGGACTATCGCTTTGCGCTCAACTGGGAGGGAGTCTTTACTCGAGGACCTCGAAGGCCTATCCCATCGGGAGAGCTTATCCACCTTACCACTATCACTACTATACACTCTACGCTCCTTACTCTCTGTCTTTACGATCATTGCTCCTGTCTCTATGGTAATCCCTACTATCTCTATCTTCCCTACTGTCTCTATCTCTACTATGGCCCCAACGGTCATTGTATCCATACCAGAATCTATCACCGCAGTCTCCAAATCTTGGTCTTGGCCTTGGACATCTTGTCTTCAACCCTGGAAGCACACAAAACAGTATTTAACTCAAAATCACATAAACGTTTTGGGGGTTTCCAGACCCTCCTATTCAACTATTTTGTTTGGCCCACAAAATCAGTACCACCCTGTTCACTCTCACTCTTGTTGGGTTTCTTTAAAGTTTTTAGTCAACCTTCCCTTTGGCATTTGTGCTTATATACTATATTATTTTTGGGCTTACTATACTCTCTTTCCCGTGTTTCACTATCTGAATCAAGTTTCACTCATTTTCCCTCATTTTGCCTTCTCCTTGGTCGCCTGGCTCAAGGTTTGCATCTCTCTGCTCAGCGCCATATAACTCTACATCCATCGGGTCTGTTTTCACTTCTGTATTCATTTTGGTCTCGGGTGGGGTCAGATCATCATCATGGAGTATTTTGTCCTCTGCTTCATGACTGTTCACTCTCATCTTTTCTCTCTGGCTTCATCTCGAATGAACTCAAAGTCATTGAATTGGATGGAATCTCCTCCAACTTCATTTTGGTCTCCTCTGGTAGTGTTGTCTTCTGGAAGTTGGCTCTCATAGGATTTGAGTTGATCGAAATAGACCACCTTGGGTGTTCGCTTTCCCCACTCACGGATGCGGTAGGTGACATCAGACATCCTCTTCAGAACCTGAAATGGACCTAACTAACGACAGTGCAATTTAGGAGAAATACCTCTTTTCTTATTATTGTTTTAGTACCACACTGCATCACCAGGATTATATCCTTTACCAACCACAGGTTGATCATAAACATCTCGTTTACGGCTGGCTGACCTTTTCAACACCTGGCTGGCCCTTTCTTGAGCATCTCTCAACCCTTGTCGAAGTTCAATAACATAGTCTGTCTTCATTTCTTCACATTGTGGATTCTCTATCATCCAATATACTGGAAAAGATAATTCCCGCCCAAACATCATCATAGCTGGCGTTTCCCCAGTAGCATCATGTGTAGATGTGCGATACGCCATGAGAGCAAATGGAAACACTACATCGCAGTCAGACTGATGGGTCTTGGATTGCAACAACTTAGCAATAGTGTCAAGTAGGGTCCTGTTATATATTTCGACCATCCCATCACTCTGTGGATGGAAAGGGGTAATTTGAGCCCAGCAATTTGCAGACTTCTTGGAAAACATGAGATTCGAAGTTCCGACCCAGGTCAGAATACAAGTCTGCAGGAGCTCCGAATCTACACACAACTTCTGTAACCAGCTTGTCCGCTACTGTGATGGCTTCTTGGTCTGGAAGCGCAAAGGCTTCTACCCACTTGGAAAAATAGTCGGCACCCACAATGATCATGATTGTTTCCTCTAAACATCTTGGGAAATGGTCCTAGTATGTCAACTGCGTACCTCTCCATGGAACTACTTACCCCTTGTATCTATAATGGAGCTCTTCTGACTCGCAGAAGTTTTCTTCTCTTCCCACACGTGTGACAGGTACGCACTACACCTCTGACATCGACCCTCTGTTCAAATCAATAAAATCTCTGCCTTCTCTTCAAAAAGGATTGGTTGATGGTGATTTAAAACTGATTTTATACCACGCAGACATAGTGCTAGAGGAAAGCAACGCCTCTAATATTGGCTGTATCTCAGGGTCCTGTTTGTGTGCCTCTGCAATCTTTTCCACATCCAAGTTGGTTCAATAGCAACCATAGCAACTTGTAATTGATATACATCTTCTTCTTGAGCTGCCTTATTACAGTGAGAACATTGAGAACAGGGTCTCCGAGACATGACATCGGCGTTGGCATGTCTTGGTCCAGTTCTGTACTCCAATTGGAAGTTGTATTCTTGTAGCACCTCGAACCACATCGAGCAAACTGTTCCTCTTGGTTCTTAAAATATGTCAACCATCTCAAGGATGCATGGTCTGAGCGAATGGTGAATCTATCATCATATAGGTATTGACGAAAATACTTGGGGAAGTGCACCACAGCCAGGAGTTCCTTCCTGGTTACACAGTAGTTTAATTCTGGTCCATTTAGTCGATGACTGGCATAGTTAATAACTCTTTCCTGGGATAAAACGGCCCCAACAGCTTCATAGCTGGCATCTGTGTCCAATATGTAGGGACAATCATCCCTTGGAAAAGCCAGAATCGGGGCTGTGGTTAACTTTTCCTTTAAAGTAATAAAGGCTTCTTCAGTTTCAGAGTTCCACATAAACCTTTGGTCCTTCCGTGTTAACTTGTGCAAAGATCCTGCTATTTCAGCAAAGTTTTGGATGTGTCGCCTGTTATATGATACACCTCCCACAAACTGCCAGACCTGCTTGACAGTCTTCGGAGTGGGATATTCTAGCACAGGCTAGCTTCCACTTTCTTGGGATCTGGTGCAATGCCATCCCCTGAAAGTACATGTCCTAAATAGTTCACTTGTGTCTGAAGTAGAGTACACTTCTTTTGTTTCAACTTCAGTCCAGCTCTATGTTATCGCCCAAATACTCCTTCTTACCGTTTTAGAGCTTGTTCAAATGTAGAGGCGAAAGAAATACGTCATCCAAGTAAACTAAGGGGAGGCATCAAAAGTTCGATGTCGGATCGGAAACTAAATAAATCTAGTTTTGACTCAGACCCCCCCCCCCAAAACTAAATACCGTGAAAGTAGATCACTTACTTCCGGTTTGAGAATTTGAAAAATTATTGCTAAACACGATCTAGTTTTTGTTAATTCCTATCGTAATTTGCGACTTTTAACAACTATAGATAGAATAGAATCCATTGGAATGATCTTGACGAAAAAGCATCAGGTAAAATCTTTATTTTTAAACCATTCCAAGGCATTCTGAGTTGAAATTGCCAAAAATTTGAAATGTTGAAATTTGTCGGATAGCAAACTGAAATGGGTTTGAACCCCCTCCCCCTAACTAGATTTATTTAGTTTTCTATCCGACATCGAACTTTTGATGCCTCCCCTAAGGACCCATCCTTGTTCAATCCGCTAAGGACTTCTTCCATCAGTCTACAAAAAGTAGAGGGTGCGTTTGCCAAGCCAAATGGCATTACAGCCCATTGGAATAGTCCCCCTCTCACAGTAAATGCGGATTTTCCTGGGCTTCTTTGTCCAGTAATATTTACTGGCTAAATCCAGTGTGCTGAAATACTTTGATCTATTTATCATGTCTAAAGTTTCGTCAATCCTTGGGATAGGAAAAGCATCTTTCTTAGTAACGCTATTGAGAAATTGAGCAAGATGGTTTTTAATGGTCTGCCAGATGAACAATATATTGTAACCTGACAGCTCCACCATTTATTCAAATCAATCTATTAACCGGACAGCTCCAAAGATTGCTTCTATTATATTTTGATTGGAGCATCATCAATAATATTAATTCTAATGTAAATATTCAAAATCATTTATGTTTCAAATTTCTTAGAATGGGTCAACCAGTAGACCCTTACTTACGGGCTTCAGTTGCCTTGATGAGCTGTCAGGGTTGGGAGGACTAGGGGCAGGAGGGGTGAACACAGATAACCTGTAAAACAAAAAAAGATCAGCATCAGCTGTTTATATTTTAATAAATATCTAATTAAATCATATATACAGGGTGGTCCAAAAAAATCGGACACTCGTATTTCAAAGATAAATATTTGGTAATTTGGTATATCATAAGTTCAAATTTATTATAATGTCTGTCAACCAGCGTCCATAATATAAATGACGTCATTTTTGTTTCAAAACAGGTTTTCCGAAACTTGCAAAAACCAAATTTTATTGTCAACTATATTTATTCTATCCCTTATTAAGGATAGAATTGTTGAGAAGTGAAGTTCATTGTCTCAACAGCATATTAATGATGCTATTGACCAGTTTAGGCCAAAATTGAGGGCTACATTTGATCAAAATGGTGGTATGTTGAATATCTGTTTATGCAAATAAAGTTGACAAAAAACTTGGTTTTTGCAAGTTTTGGAGAACCCGTTTTGAAATGAATTTATACTATGGACGCTGGTTGACAGACATTATAATTAATTTGAACTTATGATATACCAAATTAAAGATAAGTAAATTCCCTATCCATTGGTATATAATAGGACATGTTTTTATCAAGGAAATCAATATTTATTTTTGAAATACGAGTGTCTCATTTTTTGGACCACCCTATAAATATCTAATCATATGTTTGGTAAATACCTGTCGATGTTTCACAAGTACTCCAGTAAAACTGTTGTAAATATTCAGAAATAAATGAAAAAATTGCAATACAAAGTAAAGCCAGTGCAACAGCGCTATCAACAGCCATTGGTAAGTAAAACAACATATCAGAAATCTACAAAAACCTAAGTAGTGGAAAACCTTAAAGTCATCATTGATACCCCCTGGGGATTTTATGAGGGGGTACCATGGTAAACATTAATAATTTCTTTTATATAACTCCAATCACAATGAATGGATGAAATATTTGTTTAATATATCACTGTCAGTGATCTCTGTCATTTTCGGTCACCCTGTATACTTACTGGCTGCCGTTTCCTTGGTTGTGGGCTGTCATAGTTTGGTGAATCTTGGGCAGGAGGAATGAAGAGGGAATCCTCTTCACTTTCCTGTAAAACAAAAACTAAATGTCACCACCTGGCTGCAAACACAACTTGTTTGATGGGAGAATTAGAGTGAAAATCAACATGTTAGCTTCAGTGAGTATTGTTCTATATTCATCAAAAAAGTGCAGATAACATACATCATTCAATTATATTGTGTATATTCTATACTACTAAAAACAATTGTTTTCTAAATGGATTTTAGCAGCATAACAATATGTTAAAAAATCTACATACTTCATCATCTTGGAGGCTGGTTGGAGGCTGGTCAACATCATCTTCTATGATCAACGCTTCGGGTTCATCCTCTGGCATATCTTGTATTTTAATGCCTTTAATTTAAACAAAATAATCTCATGATAACTGAAGTAGATACTCATTATACCACTGTTTCACTGTATTGCTGGTTGGGTGTATGGCTGGTTTATTGTATGACCAGTTAGTTACTTGTTTAAAACACTGTTTCATTGTATTGCTGGTTGGGTGTATGGATGGTTTGTTGTATGACTAGTTTGTTGTATGACTAGTTTGTTGTATGACTGGTTGGGTGTATGGCTGGTTTGTTGTATGACCAGTTAGTTACTTGTTTTAAACACTGGTTTGTTGTATGACTGGTTTGGTGTATGGCTGGTTTATTGTATGACCAATGTTACACTCGGTGCAATGAATAAAGTGCACCTTTGCTAGCATTGTACCCAACTAATTTTTGGCTCCCGGTTCCTCTTGGATACTATTGTTCAAAACATTTGCCATGAGGTCATGACTTTCGCTGCATTCTTTGTTTGGTCGCTGACCTCATACACTTCCTTCTGTACCCTGACAGAATGTTTCATGAAGTCAGCAAGCCGTTGGCGATCGTCTTGCCCAGGGTACAAACTACACATCTGAAATGATAGATGGGTCTCCGATTTAGCCACAAGTGTGGATGTAACATATATACTAACATGTAGCACCACTATGAAACATTAAAATTAAATCTTTAATAAATATTTTAATTGAACTGTTTTTTCAATCAGATGGTATCATATTGTAAGGAAATGATTTATAATGATATATAAAACATGTCATGGTGTAATGTTATATAATAAGATATTCATCCTTAAACTTGGGTATTGTTTTTTTGGCCCACCCTGTATATACTTATCTGACAAAACCCCACCTCTTTGACTTTTTTTGACATTGAGAAGGTCATTGAAGGTCAAATGTAAAGTCAGATTTGAACTTCTGAGAAGATGTAGAAGATTTTGAAAAAAAAATTAAGTAAATTTGAAGCAAGTTGAAAAAAGACCTTTTTGACCTTGAAAAGGTCATTGAAGGTCAAATGTCAAATCTAAAGTCAGATTTGAACTTCTGAGAACATGTAGATGATTTTGAAAAAAATTAGTCAATTTGAAGCAAGTTGAAAAAAGACCTTTTTGACCTTGAGAAGGTCATTGAAGGTCAAATCTAAAGTCAGATATGAACTTCTGAGAACTTGTAAAGTCAAATTTGAACTTCTGAAAAGATGTAGATGATTTTGAAAAAAAAAATTGGTCAATTTGAAGCAAGTTGAAAACAGACCTTTTTGACCTTTTTTTACCTTGAGAAGGTCATTAATGGTCAAATGTCACACTTGGTAAAAATGTAAAAATAATATAGAATAAAATGTTTAATATACTGCAAAATAAGTTGCATTAAGAGAGAATCATAGAGAATATTTTTTCCAGTATAATAGGCAGTTATTTTTTGTATTATAGCGGAAAAAAATATAATACGTATTTTGAAGAATTATTTTTGATTTAATAATATTATTCGTGTATTATTTAAAGGGAACAACATATAATACCATATACTATAGAATAATATTTTTGTCAGGAGCAAATAATATGTTGGCATCTGCAATCAAAAACCGATTATACGCGTTTATTTTCGAGCCGTTAATCCCTAATTATTCAATTCCTATGAAATGAGTTTCATTCATACTTATACTTAAGTAATTAATCCGTTTGTTATGGTTAATGGATTAATCTCTACAGCTGATGGCTCTAAAAAATTCCACAAAAATAATTTGCAGAATAAGTTTTTACATATATATTTGATTGTATAATGTCCCTCATGTTATGATTAACATTGTGTTAAATTTTTGATTCAATCAATTAATTCATTGTAAAGTTAATTTTTGAATTTTTAATTAATTGGTTTTCCTCACATTTTTATTCCATTGTTTCTCTGTCACATTAGGTTTTTGGCAAACAACTCTTAAATCCCCCTCTTACACAGATACAAACAACCACCTGTATTCACGTTGCCAACAAAAAAACATTAATTAATAAACACATCACGCATTTTATACAGAACCATACTTAAGGACCCCCCTCCCCGTGGCCAACGATTCTTTCAAATTCATATAGTTTTTCAACATTCACATACATGTATTGACATTCCAGAGCAATATAATAAGTCAAACTTTAATCCCTAATTATTCAATTTCTATGATTTGAGTTTTGTTCACACCGATAAATAATCTGTTTGTTAGAGTTAATGGATTAATTTCTACAGCCGATGGTTCTAATTTCAACCAAAAAATAATTTGCAAATTTAGTTTTTCATATTTATTTGATCGTATAATGTCCCCTATGTTATAATTAACATTGTGTTAAAATTTGGATTTAATTGATTGACTCAATGGAAAGTTAATTTTTAATCAATGGCATTCCTCACATTTTTACTCCATTTGGTTTCCTCACAATTTAAATCAATAGTTTCTCTGTAAAATTAAGCTTACAACAAACAAGATTTAAAGCCCTCTCTCACACAGACACAAACACCTTTATTCACTTCACAAACAACACAAAACATTGATGACACGAAACTGCTATATATCAATACATTACAAATTTGATACAGGTCCATGGCAAGGAAGGTGGGGGGGGGGGGGTCGTTGGGTTCGATTAAATCACCCTCCCCCTTGCCAAAATTCTTTCAAAATCCTATTATCAATTGTGAACCCTTGGTATGTTTTGAAAATTGATCCGCTTGGCTAAAACTTATTACAAGCCTGTAATATATTGTATGTTTTGCTCCGATTTTTCTGACAAATCACTGATAATAAATAAGGAAACGTCCATTAGGTTAACCGATACAAGTGGTGTTAATCCATGCTAAAACAAAATAAGAACTTGTATTCTCTCACATTTCACAATTCGTGTGTTTTCTGTTATCCATATAATATCTGAGATATAAACCGGGGATATCCCGGGAGGGGGGATATAAACATCAGATTAGTACATGATGTTATACATTTGTTTTCTACTACAATTTGATCATTTCTTTTTATTACAACTTTCTTTGTTTTCCATTTCCAAATATATATATTCAAAAGGTGCGAGATTCGGTATGTTTAGTTGTTTGATAATGAAAATAAAGAAGTGGGCACAATTTAATGTTTCATCTGACAAAACAATGAATACGCTTTGAGCAAATTGGTGCATGGTAGAACAAACTGATGTAAATAACATATTGACATACAGCATGTCAGAGCAATATGATAAGTAAAATGTTAATCCCTAATTATTTAATTTTTTTTAAATATGAGCTTCATTAACACTGACAACTAATCTGTTTGTTGGAGGCAATGGATTAATTTCCTACAGCCAACAGTTCTGAGTTCCACAAAAAAAATATTTGAAAATTAAGTTTTTCATATTTATTTGATTGTATAATGCCCCCTATGTTATGATTAACATTGTGTTAAAATTTGGATTTAATTGATTGACTCAACGGAAAGTTAAGTTTTAATCAATGGGTTTCCACTCCATTGTTTCTCTGCCACATTAAGTTTACAACAAACAACATTTAAGGCCCCTTCTTACACAGAGTGAGACACAAACAACCACCTGTATTCACTTTGCCAACCACACTTTGCCTCTGACACAGAACTGCTCAATTTTTCAGTTAAATACAAGTAAATTACGCATTTTATACAGGCCCGTACCTATCGAGTAACGATCCCCTCCCCTTGGCCAACAATTCTTTCAAAATCATGCAGATTTTCACCATTCACATACATGTATTGATGTCAGAGCAATATAAGTAATACCTTAATCCCTAAGTTTTTTCAATTTCTATGAAATGAATTTTGTTCACTGATAACTAATCCGTTTGTTAGAGTTAATGGATTAATATCAAGAACTGATTCTTCTAATTTCCACAAAAAATAATAATTTGCAAATTAAGTTTTTCATATTTATTTGATGGTATAGTGTCCCTCTTTCTATGATTAACATTGTGTTAAAATTTGGATTGAATTGATTAACTCATCGGAAAGTTAATTTTTTGATTTTTAATTGATGACTTTTCTTCACATGTTTACTCCATTGTTAACATTAATTTTAATCAAATTAAATTTATTAATTTCTTCTAAATATTTATTTTGTAAATATGTTTCAAATAGAAATAGAACAATCAAAATAAAATGTATGTGTGACATTTGTAAGTAAAGGAGATGAGAAGGCCAGTAGAACGGTTAATCCTATTAACTGCCATGCTGTGCATTCTTTGTTTTGTTTGGTTAAGTAATTAACCAGATGGATTGTACATCAAGTTGGGCGAGAATAATCGCGTATAATATTTTTTAGAACCCAAATAATACAATATAATTTGATATATTCTGTTCAGATTGGAAAATACAAGAAAATAATATTTTTTAGAATAGAAAAAAATTCTAAATAAACTGCAATCATCATATTTGGATCTCGCTTATTTCTAATTATATTATATTAATCTCTATATAATAGAGTATATTTTGCTGATTATATTTTTTTCCTTCATAATATAATATAATAATTACAATACTGAATGGAAATACTGTATTATTACGCATCTTTTTACACAAATATCCGAAAATAAAACATCTTTTTATATATTATTTTATTGATTTCACCAAGTGTCAAATCTAAAGTCAGATTTGAATTTCTGAGAACATGTAGATGATTTTGAAAAAAAAAATTAGTCAATTTGAAGCAAGTTGAAAAAGACCTTTTTGACTTTTTTGACCTTGAGAAGGTCATTGAAGGTCAAATGTCAAATCTAAAGTCATATTTGAATTTCTGAGAACATGTAGATGAATTTGAAAAAAAAAATTTAGTCAATTTGAAGCAAGGTGAAAAAATACCTTTTTGACCTTTTTTGACATTGAGAAGGTCATTGATGGTCAAATGTCAAATCTAAAGTCAGATTTGAATTTCTGAGAACATGTAGATGATTTTGAAAAAAAAGATTAGTCAATTTGAAGCAAGATGAAAAAATACCTTTTTGACCTTTTTTGACATTGAGAAGGTCATTGAAGGTCAAATGTCAAATCTAAAGTCAGATTTGAATTTCTGAGAACATGTAGATGATTTTGAAAAAAAAAATTAGTCAATTTGAAGCAAGTTGAAAAAAGACCTTTTTGAACTTTTTTGACTTTGAGAAGGTCATTGAAGGTCAAATGTCAAATCTTAAGTCAAATCTAAAGTCAGATTTGAATTTCTGAGAACACGTAAATGATTTTGAAAATTTTTTTTAGTCAATTTGAAGCAAGTTGAAAACAGACCTTTTTGACCTTTTTTGACCTTGAGAAGGTCATTGAAGGTCAAATGTCAAATCTTAAGTCAGATTTGAATTTCTGAGAACACATAGATGATTTTGAAAAAAAAATTAGTCAATGTGAAGCAAGTTGAAAAAAGACCTTTTTGACCTTGAGAAGGTCATTGAAGGTCAAATGTCAAATCTAAAGTCAGATTTGAACTTCTGAGAACATGTAGATGATTTAGAAAAAAATTGAAGTCAATCTAAACAGTATTTGTTAAGTTATAGAAAGTTGTAAGAAATTGTTACAGACGCCGGACGCCAACCTCCAACCACCAA